CATTTCCAGCAAGCAGAGCCAAGCCTGTGTGTTGGGGATCAACACCAAGACTTGCGACTACTCGCACCGTGGCTGAACTGGACCCCGAGCAGCCAGGCTTCTCAGCCAAAAACATACAAGACTTCAGAAGAAATAAATAGGTATTTCTTGAACAACTTCAGCTCCTCCAGCTGTATCAATAAGACAAAAAACCTCTGTGAGAACGCAAAAATGGCTTATTCAGTCTGTGCATTTAAATTACTGGTGTGCTACCTAATTTCTATTATTTTAAAACTAGTACCAGTAACCCTCACCTCTTATCTCTTAGCATCATTATAAGTATCGCTCATCTTCGTTTAACATACCAGTGTATGACTGGAACAAGGCAATGAAGTATTTTGTAGTCTCAAAAAAGTGTCAGAGCTTTTAAATAATTCAGTGACAGCTGGAGTTCAAAGGTGATGACAATATTATGCTCACATAAACTGAGAGTCACTCATTATCTGATCTGAACTGAAAAGCAAATGTCTAAGAGAAGAGGGGCAGTCAGTACCAGTGCTGGTGCGCATGGTAAACTCCTTAATCCCAGCACCTGTGATAATGCTATCCAACACTGGCAGGCGGAATTAAACTTGACTTGCGAAGGGCATTGGTGGATACAAGCATTCTCAGGAAGCTCCCAACTATTTCCTGGGAAAGAGCCTGACTTTCACAGCATGAACTGCCTCGGGTGTCAAGCTCTTGGAAACAGGAGGGTGATCAAAGAAAACAAAATGCTAAGGGACTAATTATTGTTTCCTTTTTTACTGCTTATACTGCTCAATCCATTACGTCTCCCCTAATAGGATTCTAGGCAAAAGATGACTTTTACTGGCTTCAGCAAAATAGTCAGTTTATTCTATACTTTTCACTTGCATCAACCAATAAATGCAAAGCTCTGATTGCTTTGGCAGTTTCCCTGACTGCATGGTGCAATGGCCTACTTCAACATACTACTAAAACTGCGGGCACTTTGCTTTGCAAGGGATTTAATCCCAATACAATGGTGCATGAGCTTTTGGGAAGAAGCTGAACATTACAGAGAAATGCAGAGTCCAGAGCTTAATCTGACATTTTCTAAACCTCTAGAAGGCCAATGCTGGGCCAAGCCCTTGTGCTCACCAAGTAAGTGGCACCTCAAGTCAAGTATTCTCACTTGTATTATATTCCTCCTGAGACTTCTGCCATTCAAGGCCATTAGAAAGAAATGCAAACACTCAGAAAAATTTTATGCCCTAATATGTTGGTTTCTGATTTACCAATTCTTTACCAAAAAAAAAAAGAAAGAATGGTTGCTCCCACATGCCTTTTCCTACGTACATTTCCCCAGTTAAAAATGTATAAAGGCATTTCTGGGCAACTGTATCTGTCATGAGATGCCTAAATCTCTAGCCCATTTAAACCCCCAAGGACAGCCACACACCCAGAACACCCATTGATTTCTGGAGGAAGTGACAGGGACCTGCAGGAACCTAGATCCTAACAGTCACGGCCCTTTACTCTGAAAACTTAAATTCACAGGCTTTAAAAAAAAAAAATTTAGCCTTAAGCTACGATATATACGAATATGCATATGTGCAAAAGAAGCACAGTAGCAAGGTAGTAGTGCAATTAACAAAGATCATTCTTTAAAAAACTATTTTTGGCAAAATCTGTAACTGTGGAGACTTTTATATGACTCACAAGCTTTAAAATTGCTGCAATTAGATATAAGCCAGAGTCAAAGGTATGATTACTGATTTCCTTATGGCAGAAAGCACAACCAAATGGCTTCTGGTCAAATTGATGCTGAATAAAAATCATGTTTTTGATAAAAGAGAAAATAGAAACCTGCTCGAGGTCCAAATACTGCTCTGGCAACACAACGTAAGGTTGTTCACTAGGTAAGAACTTAATTCATTGGATAAGAACATGCACCTATAACCAAGTAAACTGGATTTTCTGTGAAATTAAAAGTATGCATAATAGAACAAGTTTTTCAGAGTGGTTAAAGCAGTCCTCTTTTTCTCTCCTTCATCAGTTTGATTTGCGTAACACCAGCACAGAATGTGTTTTAAACATGATGACAAGAACAAGTTATCTTGACTTCTTTCTGCTTTCCAAACAGTTATCCAAATCGTGGCAAGGGGTGATACATACACAGTTCTAAAAATGAAATGAAAGCCACTCTTGCCCTATCCACTCACCCAAAAAGGTGAGTCACGGATGGTGGTGAGAGTGTCTCCCATGTCATCTGGTGAGCTTGCTGGTGAAGAGACAGCTGTAGGGGTGATAGAAAGTCAGTAACGTTTCCCAGTCTAGTCTGACGCTGGCTTTTACTGCTGCAGCTTGATGTATACAAATATACTCCCTTTCTGCAGCATTTTGGCACTTCCTAGCGCTAAAGAGCACACAACGCAGCCATCAGGAGCAATGTTCCCGCTTGGTGTCCCCACCACCCCCTGGGAGCAAAGTGCTGTGAGATTTTGCTCTCTGCTTTGTTTTCTACATCAGAACTGGTAACAGACGCAGGACGGCTGTGTGGGAAAGCAGCATGGTCAGAAAAGTAGGATTCACATTTGGGCCTGAATGTGGTCTTCTCAGTTCACTGTGGGAGCAAATTGCAGAATGACAAGCTTATTGCCAGTACAGCTCCGAAGCTTGCACACGCAGGGTTCACCCCCCTTGTAAATACCACCGTGGGTTTTTAGCAGAGCTTCTGATGTCCAAGAAGATAAGCAGTTACTTTAGTGGACAAGAGATGCAGAAAATGGCAGGGATGGAGGGGGGGGATCAGATGGGTGTTAGCATCCTAGTGTCATCGATACTAAACTTTCACTCATTCTGTTAAACCAGAAACCCACTCAGATCCTAAGCAAACTTGAAATTTATGAAGAAGTCAGTCTCAGCTTCATGTACTTTGTGTGACCGATTCTCAGACAGAGACGCTGCTGCGTTGTAAATCTGCCACAGCTGGTTCAAGGCTTGTGCCTTCGGGACCACAGGTTTTGCGCTGAGATACTTCTGATGGGAGAGGAGGGAGTGTGTGACGCAGCTCGGCCATCTGTAACACAGGACAGCATGCACCAACTGTATTTGGTTGTGTGTCTCTGGCAAAATGAGGGGTATTGTTGTTTTTCCTTTTTTTTATTTTTTTTTACAGCTGCTGCTGTTTGCCAGCAGTCTGGTGTCAGAGAGAAGACCTTGATTTCATGACAGTTTGGCAAATCAGGGAGATACCTCTTTAACTAGCAGATACAAACCAAATAAGAAAAAGTCCACACAAAATTAGATGCTAAAAGTGAAGAACGACAGGAAAAGGAGACCGGAATGGTGCAATAGCAAAAACAGGAGGGTGGGCTTGTTTGGGACTGCTATGTTGAGAAATGTCTTCCTGCCCGGCAGAGGCACTTGACCTGTCCCTGAGCCCCATGGGATACTCCCTTGCACCAGGGTGCTGGCCTGGTACGAGTATGAGACCATATCTGCAGAGCCAGACCAAAACAGCTCTGAGAGCGCTCACAGTAACTTCATGCAGCTCAAGCCACCTGTATTTGTGCCAGCTGGGAGGAGGATGGCTTCAATGGGTCCTTATGCCAAGGCGACTTTGTAGGACAAGCTATTTAATAAGGACTTAGAGAGGGGAAGAGGAAAGAAACAGAAGAACAGAAGTGTACAGACCCCTTGAACAAAGATTTCTCTCCCAGTTGAGCAAATGGTCCAACCTCCACAGCAAGTAAACCACCAGTGAAGGCAGATCATCATGTGCAAAGCTTTTCACTCTGAATGCCACACACATCAGCAACCCCCCCAAGGGTTGAACTTTCCAGTCCTCCCTGCCTTGACTTACCAATCTCTATCCTGTTGCCCTGCTGCAGTTGTAACTCACAGTATTTTTGGGTGATGACAAATCACAAGTAAAACAGGAGAGGAGTAAAACAGCATAATGAAATTTTATTCTGAAAATATGGCAAGAGTCTAAGGCACTTCAAACATTTAAATACACATGACTAAAGTGAATGTGACAAGGTAATAGCATTCCATAAATATGCAGCGAGAACTACACTCAGTTCCACTCAAGGGAATATATAGCTGGTACCTCTAATTTTATTCTCCAATAAACATGTATGGAGCTTATGGACTGACACAGTTAATAAAAATATGGTAACAGGACATGTAATTCTTCATGTAGTTTTTAATTATTAAGGAATATAAAATGTTGAAAATACTGTGCGAGTTAATTTTATAGATACTATTATCTTTAATATAAAAAGTTATAATTATCCCCAATAAGCAACAACTTTCATGAACTTCAGACCTGACAAAGGGTCTGCTCTCTATTCCTAACCCATCCACCCACCAGCTCAAGCTCCGCGGAGCTGCCTATATAAGCAACTGCAACTTCTGAATTTCAAAATAATTAAAAACATCAAAATCATGTTGGAATGAAATTTATGAAAAAGGTTACTGTGGTAAAGTCTAGGCATAGCAAGTATAAATATGTTTTAGAATGATTAAAAATAAGCGACTGGGACCCTTCCACGGATAGCTTTAAAGTTCTTAAACTGTACATGACATGGTAAAAGACAATATACAGCAAAGAAAAACAATATTTATGCCAATGTGTGGAAAGATGAGTAAGTGAGCAAAAGAATAGTTCTGGCTAACGGTCTCAGCCGACTACCACCTAACTAAACGCTTGCTTCAGGTTTACAGTTTTCTATCTTTAGCACTAGGTCTCTGCTTTCACTTTGCTGGTGAGTTCAGGCACAAGACAATTACATTCAGTATCTGTCTCAGTAAAACAGTAACAATTAGCAGCTTAAAGATGGCATTAAGATTTTTACAGATATTCATGCATTACTACTCAAACGCGGTTCTGTGGGTAGGACCGGGAGATGTCTTTCTGCTAAGCCTAGGAGTGCCCTAGAAAAGAGGAGAGGAAAGAACAATTAATTGAAGGGAAATTAATATAACTAGCTGAATGAGAACACAGCAGGCACCAGCAGTCTGTTCAGCCCCTTCCCTTTAACTGCACAGACAAATCTTTTTTTTTTTTTCCCCCTCCCTTTTGGGAAGAGTACCAGCTATCATACAGCCTACTACCTGATAGTACATGCTGTTTATGAGCACCTAGGACAGTTGTTAACTCCAGAACGGACTTTGTTGCGGTGACTTGGTCGGTAATCAGCATGACAATGATGCTCCAGCACCTCTGCACCCTAGCCAGAGTTAGCGAACTAGCCTCACCCCAAGAGAAAAGGGAGGAGGAGGAGGTATCCTTCAGCTAGCCACCAGCCTGTCGCAGTCTGGATTTAAAAATTCACATTTTTCTTACTGGCATAGAAGTTATTCTGTGGATAAACGTGAAATTTCATGTGCTACACTGCTCAGTAAAGAGCAGAACGGAGTAGCTGAGAGACTCGTTTCTGCACAAAGTGGTAGCCCACAGAGCGGTCAGTAGCGAGTTTGGCTGAAGTGCCTTCGATCCAGATACAGCGAGGGGTTTTTCATTTATTTACATTTTTCTATTATGTTCAGGAACAGCAAGTTAAAAGATAACCTGGGTTCAAAATACATAGGAGGTTGTGTACTAACCGGTGACTGGGTTTTGGAAAAGTTGACATGGGCATAGAGCAGAACTGCTATGTCCTTATGTCCAGCTTCCAGGGCTATTGAAAGTGCTGTGCTGCCATCCTGGGAAAAGGAAGGAAGAAATAAGAGAATTAGTGTTAGTGTGCTTTAGCTGATCCCTGTAAAGCTCCATCAGCTCACAGAGAGGGGAAGTTACTGAAGTGAAGGCCCTCCTGCTCAGACAGATGGGTTAATTTAGAGTCCTGTTTAATTTCTTCTGTTATAATTAAGTGACAACAAGCCTTGTGCTGCTGTTTTATGAGGCAGTCCAATTGTCAGAGGCCTCATAATTTCTCCCAACGAGGAGACTAGATTACTGCTGAGCAAGAATGAGCATGCCATTATCACAGTAACGTTACATGTAATGCTGTGTAAGACCAGTGATTTCAGAAGATTGGTCTGTCTGAGAGAAACCGCAATGCCAGCGAGGAGCGGAAGAAGAGGTAAGGGAGGTATAAATGTTAATCAGCTATGATAATTGTTTTGTTACAACTCCCATTAACGTTAAGAGCAATTGCATTTCTAATTCCTAATGCTCCTTGACAGGAGCCTAGCTACTAATAAATGGACTTTCCTGTTCAGATAGTGTCACCTCGGTGTCTCAGGAGATACTATTTCTTTCAAGAATCATGACTGTTGAGCCTGTTAGATGTGCTCTTAGCCTAATTTATCGACCCACTGGTTTTCCTTTAGACCATGCTTGATATCATTAACGTTTGTGACAGATGCTTTCTGGGTCTCTGTCCCCTCACCTTAGGGGGCAAGAGAAGGCCAGGAAGAGGTGGAAGTCAGAAAATCTGGGCTGTGAGCTTCCGAGCTGTCAGCAAAGCTCATCAGTAAGACACTGCCACTTCCCCTGACTCTTTCTTCCTTGCTCGCTTCTGCTCCCAAAAACTGATGCATCATGTGGCGACAGCACCCTGCTCTCCCATGGCTTTTAACTCACAAGGCACGAAGCTACAGCCTCAGCACAAACACCCCAGCGGCTTGCTGGCCCACTGCCTGCCTTTCTGGCCCTTGCACACAGAAGTTTCCACAATAACGCCAGTATTTGAAATGACCTCACAGGAGCTGCTGCCTCCTGTGTTGGCTCTCTGAGAGGAGCACGTTTTCCAGCCCCTGCTGTAACACTGCTATTAGAAAGGTCAGTACCAGTTTAGAGAAGCTGTAAGCCTTGTGTCCCGCATGGGACACGAGGAACAGCATCCAAGTGGAAAGTCTTCTCATGAGACTATGGGGAGCAATTATAAATAAATCTAACGGTGCTGAGCAGACAGGGAGGTAGAACAGCTGGCCACCTCAGTACGGTATGATGCACTACAAATATTACACAGTCAACACCGGGAAAAGCAGAAAGTTCGTAGGAGAGAGAGGCTGAGTCATTATCAGAGTGGCATAAATTGGTGGGAGGAAGCCCAGCGTCAGCCAGCAGTCAAGCTGCCTGGAGAGGCACCGCAGGGAAGAGCTCGGCGAATGCTAAAGACCTCAAAATCTCCCAGCACGGGCAGACCCGCTACAAATGAGTAAGAGGCAGACAGGCTGTGCTTGGATAACAGTAACAAACTACCTGCAGGAATAGTTAAGTGACATGTCTCCCGTAAAGATTTCACCTGTTGACTTGATGATTAATAGTGCTACTGTGCTATAAGATAATAGCACCCAGGCTGCAGTAACCTAGGATGCCCTAAAAAGGATTTGTTAACACTAAAGTCTTCTTACATTTTTCCCTCTGAGGCCGGCTATTATACACTGCTTGCACTGGGAGACAATAAAACCACTAGCAGCTGAAGCAGGCAAATACACAGAAATGATTTCTCCACCTTTCTACAACAGTTTCAACAAATAACCACTCACCACCCTCCTAAATTCAAAATCTAGGCTCCAAAATCTAGGCTCCATTTCAGTGCTAAATGAGTGATAGCAATAGGATGAACTGAAACATATGCAAGAAATGATGTTGTTAGCAAGAACACAATAATACTCAGCTAAGACGACAGCTATGTCAACATTTTAAATCTTGAACACTCCACCGATCAAACCCGGCCTGCTTACAGTGCAGGCTGCAATGATCTCTGCAAACCAAGAAATGTGCAAGTGTCTCACTTGGCACTGAGGTCACAGCTTGCATCTGTTCATCGTCGGGACAGTGTCGCTTAATGACTGAGAAACCTAACCAGCATTCTCAAAAGTCATGGTGTAACTACTGAGTGAACATCTCATGAAGAAGTGTTTGGAATTGATATTGGCTGTGAACATAGAAAAGCAACAGAGCAAGTCCATTAAGTCACCAGATAGGGTCATAATGGAGAATTAGGAAACCTCTGGGCAATGGGGAAGGGATGGAAGAAGGAAAGACATTTTATCATGAGCCAACAAATGATTTCTCTCTTCTGGTCACTGCATACCTAAAGCGAAGCACAAAAAATTACTGCTTGGAAGGCTTGTTAGAAAAGCAAAGATAGAAAGCAAATAATCACAGCGCTTCCTACAACTAAACAGAGGATTCATGCATCTGGGACTATGAGTCAGAGATTCACGTAAGTAGATTTCTGCAGCTCTTCACTGAATCAAAAAACTAAATCAGAAAAACATTCAGAAGTGGAGAAGCTGTCTGATGAAGCAACATCTGGAAAGGCAACTCACATTGTCCTCCAGGGTGCCATTACACCCAGGCTGAGCCAGCAGAAGTTTCACTATTTCTACATGTCCGTGTTCGCTAGCACACATCAGAGCCGTAGAGCCCTCATCGTCCTGGATATTGACGTCTGCACCACAGGCCAGCAAAGCTTTAACCATGTCTATCCGCCCATGACTCACAGCCAGCATCAGAGCAGTCTGACCAGCCTGCATAAAAAGAAGAGAAAAAACCCAAATCACCACACAGGCCATCAATGACAAAGCATGCACACTTTTTTTTTTGGCATCGTGCTTTTTCTCGGGGGGTGGGGAAGATTATTTTCTATAGGACTGTCAAGTCTCTGCTTGCCACTACTGAAATACCTTTTACACATAATATAGTCTACACTAATACAGATATTTATTAAATTGGAGCTATTTCTAGACAGCTAGAGGTACTCAGAAGAAACTAAATGCTACAGACTTTGTAAATGCCTCCCAAAATTCAGTAATGGCTTTTGCACATAATACTCAATCTTCATTTTGCTTTTTCAAAGGCATCCACACCTGAGGCTCAGCTGCTCTTCCTGGGCTCCGTTTTCTATCCAGCAATCAAAAGCATACACAGGAACACCAAGAGACCATGGAGAGTCTCAGTAAAGGAGTGCAAGGGCTACACCAGCGGAGCAGCAAAGGGAAGAGGGTCTGAGAGGTAAAAAGCCGAGTGAGTTGGAGCAGTGCTCTGCAAACCGCTGGACTGACCTGGCTGGCTTTAGCATTCACATCCCCACAGCTGAAGAGCTCTTCCACTATCCTCATGTCCTTCTCCGCCTCCACAGCTGCAAGCGCAGCAAGCATGATGGGGGTATAGCCGGCCTTGTTCTGGTGATTTACGTTACAGACATCTGCAGAGGGATGAGATAATTTCTTTGGAAAGCAGGAACCCAAAAAGCAGCAATTGTGCTAATGAACTGAATAAACTGTTAGCGGAGCAGCCTATAAAAAAAGGGCAGCAATTGGTCTGATAATGGAAGCAATTCAAGGGAGAGTGGAGAAGAAAAAAAATAAACAGGGGTGCTCTTGAGCTAGGGACAGAAAAGGATTCTCTTCTGTTATGTGTGCAAAACAAGGGAGGACACAAAAACATTTTATGTGACATCATTTAGGCATCATTTTTTTAATTTTAAAAGCAAGTGGTCTGAAATTTGACCAGACCATCAGACAGAAAAGTATCTTTGTGTCCAAATCCTAGAAATAAGATCAGGAGGGCCTTTTTGCTCCTCTCCTGAGGAATCTACTTTGCAAAAGAAAAAAGGGTCCGCAACATGGCCAAAAAAAGCGTTACTTCTCAGCACAAACATTTTTTTGTAACTGGTGCTATTTTAAAGCTCTGCTAGTGTACTTTGACATGTTTTAGAGCTGTAGAAAAGACCTTCCAATTAAAGACTATTTCCAGCTCTACAGACTATTTGACTCTGAACAAAGGCGCTCCGGGAACAAACACAGTCTAGTCCTCTGACAAAGTGCCAGGAGCTGTCAGAGTTCTCCTTTTCATTCAAGTTTAAACCCACTATTCCTAAAATTCTGCAGAGGTCCAGCAGGGCTTATTAGCTTACCAGCCAGCAGGGCTTTGAATATGCTCATCATATTGGAAAGCAAGGGCACAGACTTACACAAACAATATCTGTAGACTTAGGATTAAATTATACTACAGATATCTTAATAAGCAAAAATATTACAGGAAATTCTTCAGATTTATTGCCAACTTTTTTTTTTTTTTATTCTAAGTGAAAAGAACATTTGTGGAGGCCATACAAATGCCGTAGTAAGCAAATGCACATTATTCCATGCACATTATTCCATTATTCCACCTGTGCTACCTGTAGTTCAGGTAGAGATATCCAAGCTCACTTTCAAAAATCCCTTCTGGGTGGCTCCTATACGGGAGCCGCTGAAGCAGTAAAGAAAACTGCACTCTGCTACCTGCATCACTTCCTGAGTAATTAATAATTGATGAACGTGAAGTCCTTCTTCCCTGACTGCACTACTTCAGCAGAGATGTGTTTCTTGAGGTCACAGTTCAGCTCCTTTTCTATAAGCCTAAGGAAGGGAGAAAAGTTGTTTTGTTTTGTTTTAACTCCTCTCTCTAATTATCCTCTCGGTAGCACCGCATGACGACACAGAAAAGTCTCTGGCCTCGCCACCAAGCACGCTCACGTGCTGTACTCCGGGACCACGAATCTGCCTGCGATGCACACGCAGCATCACCGACTTGACTGTCCATTTAGACACCTTCCGGAGGAAGACTGTCAAAACCTGAAGCAATCTGCCTGTAAGCAAACACTCTCCCCGTGACGGCTAGTCTGCTCCCCCATCACCCCGCCCACGCCGCGCGGGGG